TGTAAGCGAAAAATGAAAGGATCTAGAAGTTAAATAACATTAGCATCTTCCCCTAGGCCTTATCACACTAGCATAAGCCCATAACATTGAACATGCTAGCAAGCACTTACAGCCAGCCTACTCTGAATATCAAAACCTTGTTAGCAGTTAGTTACAGTAAAACGAACAATGTTGTCCTTTTAGACGTCTAATAATATCCAACTATTCAATGCATCACATTGAAAGAATAGGCCTTCACCAAAGCATGTTGACAAAGCTAGTAACTTCAGCGAAATACATTTACAATCCAAGTCAATTAACTTAAATATGTATTGTGATAATGTCCCACACAGCTAGTTGGTTACAACAATCTACAGTGATGTCACAGGGATTTCAGGCAGCAGGTAGTTGAAGGTTAAGTACCTAAATTCACTTATTAATCCATTTGCTATGGCTACAACTGCCTCATGGAACAACAAATATTTATTTTCTGTTTGTTTAATATAGGAATGCATCTTTGTCTATCACACTTTGCTTCTGTAGATCTCCCATCTGACTTTATTGTGAGCTTGTGTTTTCAAAAGTAAATTGAGCATGTTTTATGAGACTGAACAGTCTCATGGGGTATTGGACTCTCTTAAAACCCAGGTAGGTGCAGAATAGGTTTCTCAAAAATAAAGCAATCAGGAAGGCAGTACTATGCATGACTAAAAATGATATGTACACGTTGATTAATACCTACTTAACTTGTACTTGGGACAGGACTGCAAAGTACAGATGGGATATTCCTGATCATAATCAAACTTATATAAATGTGCACCAACATTAGTTATCAGTGTTCTCTATTCTCAATTTAAAAGAATAAACTGACAATAAAGAAGTCTTATAACATATTTTGCTTGTGTCTTTGGAAGGCCTTCAGTGTTTGTTTTATTATTTATCAACTAGTTACATTGTCATTTTGTAAATTAAGAAAATAAAATCCAAAGATTTAAACAATTATAATTAGAGATGTCCCGATCCGATCACGTGATCGGGGATAGGAGCCGATCACGTGATTTTCAAAAGATCGGAATCGGGAGAAAAAAATCGGGGATCGGAATCTTTTTTTTTTTTTTTTTTTTTTTTTATAAATAAAATATTTTTATTATTTTATTTAATGTTACAAAACAAAAATGACCATGTTCACGTCTTAAAGTCATCCTGAGGCCTTAGTTTTGGTTTAAAATTACACAACATCATGTATGTGTTGCTTCTTTTGGGCTTGTTTTCATAGACGTGGTTGCTTATTTCTCTCAAATCTGGCAACAGAGTGGGCAGGGCGCAGTGTCTAATAGTAGCAGTAAGCTAACGAGAGGCTACGTTCAGCTGGTGACTCGGGACAGAGAAAATGTCAGGAGTTTGGAAGTATTATAAAATTGAAAGCAAAGGCAGTGTAACAGCCAGATGCAATGTTTGCAAGGCGGAGGTTCCGCGTGGTGGAAAGAACAGAGCTACGTTCAACACGACCAATCTAATACGCCACCTGAGAAACAAACACCAACAACAACACAACGAGTACACAGCGGCCATTCAGGTAACGGCACTGAAACAACCGACACTTTCAGAGACTTTTAAAAGGAAAGAGAAACTGCCCCAGAACAGTGAAAAGGCCAAAAAAATAACAGCCAAGATAGCTGAATTCATCGCGTTAGATGACCAGTCGTTATCTGTGGTGGAGAACGTGAGGTTTAAGGGACAACTTGAATGCTTTTCTCCTTTTTTTTCTCTTAATGCATTGCATAAAGATCGGATCGGGAAAATCGGTATCGGCAGATTGTCAAAATCAAATGATCGGAATCGGATCGGGAGCAAAAAAAGGTGATCGGGACATCCCTAATTATAATTGCAATGTAAATAGTTTGCACCCCATTTTTTTACTTTTAAATTAATCTTTATGGTGTGGTGTTACCAATTCTTAAAATAATACAAGGATTGGATGTTCATCAAAGGATTTTCAGGTCAATCGATTTGCAGCCAATCAGAGACGAGACTTCTGCCGCACGTACCCATCATGCACTGAGGCAGACAGAGCGCATGCACAAAGGCACTGATAGTATACTACAGAGACCACTCAGTTAGCACGCAGGAGGTGAAGAGAACTGCACGTGGCGCGCCCAGAGGAGAGGAATCAGCACTTTCAGAGGTAACGGTAAAAACTATTTATCAACGGATTCAAAACACTGAAGACTTAAAACATTGCAAACGTCAAAGTCCTAGCTATGGTATACATTTTGTTTAACGACCGAAAACAAAGTAATGTTAGCTAACGTTACCATAGCTAGGTAGCAGCTAGCTAGCTATGGTAGCAGCTAGCTACCATGCTTTGAAATTGAGCTGTTCTATGCCGTCATTATGCAGGGTGTTAATTTTTGATTTTTTAATGGTGCTCGAGTGGCTGAGCTGATGTGCAGTGAATGTTTCAGAGTTACTTTTTCGCAATATTATTTAATAAATAGTTTAGCTAGCTAACTAGCATACATTGTCACTAACTCCTAATGTTAGCTCAATCCTTAGTTTTATAATCGATTTTTTTGTGGGCATAATGTTACACACAATGCACATTATCCATATCTTTTAAATCCTATGTTAAGGCTATAATCAGAGGTGGGAGAAGTTCTCTGATCTTGTACTTGAATAAGAGTAGAAGTACTCGGGTCTTATACTTGAAGTGGCAAAGTTCCCGTTAGAATATTTTTTGCCGGTCAACATGTCCGTTAAAGTTTCAATCTTCCGGACAAAATGAGAAAAGTGCCGGTCAAAGGTCTTCTTATTTATTGAGCTTTTAAACAAATTGATATGATTCGATATTAAACAAACTAATTCTAGTAGATTAACTACATTATTCAAAAGTGTACAGTAATTTATAACACGGGAATAATAAACGGAGCGCTCTCTCTCCCTCTCCTGACAGCCCGTCAGTATCATTGTGCTAAAGGGAAATGATTTTGACCGGACATTTTGACCGGAGAGATTTAGATTTGCCGGTCTTCAGCATATTTTACCGGTCATAGTCCGGTAATTACCGGCTAACGGGAACTCTGAGTGGTATTACTCTACTTAAAGCTGCTGCTGTGTTATTTAAGTTATTTTTGCTTAAGCATGTGCAAACTTGTGTCTCTTTTTTTCCCTCAGCTGTTACTGTAGCTGCAGTACCAGTAATTGCAACCTACCAAGAATAAACAGCAGCCAGATATCCTCAAGTAAGATTTCTTGCCATATTACAAGTGTTATCAATTCTCAATGTCCTATATGGTATTGCTATGCAAACAGTGAAAGGATATGGAAATCATCAAGAGGTGGCTAAAATATGTTTTTCTGCTGACCCTGTCCAGAGCAGTACATTGCTTTGCTTCCAGGTGGTTGCTCCTGTCTGCATCTCCAAGCTCGGGGCATACCGGCCATCAGTGGCGACTGGCCATCGGGACGTTCGGGACGAATCCCGATGGGCCGGTCGGGCCACTCGGCCCACTTCGGTACCGGCAGGGGCGGACTGACCATCTGTAGAATCACCGAACGGCCGGGTCGGTTTGCTGTTTTTAAACGGCATCATTGAGGCCCCGGCTCCACGAGGACGGAAACTGGTTGAATCCGCATATTTCTCATGCGTATAGCCCTCTAAGCTCCACGACGCCGTAAGGGAAACGTAGAAACAGACCCCGCAAACGACAACGGGTCCAAAGGTGGATAGATCTGGGAACTGAGCGCTCTGGGGGGTCCAACGGGGCCGTGGAGTCGCCTATACGGTCATTCGTTTTCATAGCCCCGCCTCTCCCTGCCTCTCCCCCGCGGGGTTGCTATCGTGCTCCAGTCGCTACTGACCATGCTACAGTTCTTTGTGCAACATCTACAGGAGCTCCTCCTTGAATTCAGATTATTTATCTTTATCTCGATATGGACATAAACGCGAGTGAAGTCTAATCTGACAGGACGGAGACACGCAGCTCCTGCCGCTGTGATGCAGCGGGAGCAAAACACACACTTCAAGTCAGATCATCACCCTTAGCTATTTTAATTACCTCTCAAACTACCTAAACTAGTTATAAATATGTTCATTTTTACTGTCGGGTCACTCATTACAGGATCAGCTGCTGCATGAGACAGACACTGACGCTGTCAGAAGAGAGGAAAAAGAGATGTATTTGATGATTATATATCATTATATCGTCGTTATTCATTTGTTTTAAAGCTCAATAAATAACAATGAAGACCTTTGACCGGCACTTTTATAATTTTGTCCGGAAGATTTAAACTTTAACACACGCTGACCGGCGAAAAACTCTGCCCGGTTCTGTCGGCCCCCACCGCGGAGAATACACAGAAGTGCAGCCATGACAACCATTCTTCTTCGCTGCTTTTGTGGAGGAAGTTGCTGCTTTTGTGGAGGAAGTTACAGCGCCACGTACAGGTTCGGCATATGTACTGCAGCTTTTCCAGCGTTTGGATGTAAACGGAGCCGTCTCGTGGAGCTTGACACAATCCGGTGTATATTGCGTGGGGACGGAAGGTTTTTTGCGGTTGCATTTGCGTTACTCCGATGCGTTTTGCCGTATTTGTCCTCGTGGAGCCGGGGCCTGAAGTTGCGCTGACAGGCGACAGAGGTCCACCGTTTCCCAGTCCGCCCCTGCCGGCCATCATCTACTCTAGGTAATACACTGACTATGGATAAGTACCTTTATAAAACCCCACTTTAAACACCCAAACTATCCCTTTATGATGTGACATTTTCTACACTGTTAACATTAGGAAACACTTAAGAAAGAAAAGAAAGCTGCAGGAGCTGATCATTCCTAAAATACAATTGGCCATGTGATCACCAGTAAAAAAACAAAACAATCTGCACTAAATATTTTTTGGATTTATAAATGTTTTGTGACTTTTTCCTGTTGTGTACCTTAAGGGAGTTCTCCCCTGACAGCTGGACAGTACATGATAGCAGAGGACCAGGCCATCGTCAGTGGCAGTGTCCTGAATATTGTCGACGCCCTGATACTGATGTTTGCAGCATATTACTGCCTCAACATCAGTTATCGCTCAGAACTGGGAGCTACCCTGGAGTTCTTGCAGAGGTAAGACTTGAATTGTAATTATTAAGTAATTCCATCTTAAACCACAGAGTAGAGGATTGTGCACATTTCTGAGACACGATAAGTGCTCCTGACAATACAAGATAATCGAGATAAAAAGATTATTGTGCTGCATTCTGTTTCGCATTATGCTCTCGTTTTGTCTTGGGTTGTAAATTCAGCGTACCCCTTTCCTTTGCAGTGGTGTGCTTTGGCTCCTCCCTAAAAGCCCAAACTCACTCTTAGCCAATCGGTGGTATGTTTACTTCAGCTCAATGAAAATGACGGAAAGAGGGCCCTTTGTGGACAACAAAAGAAAACCTGGTATTATTGCAATGAACAAACACATTACAACTTATTTCGGTTAATTACAATGCTTTTACACCGCTCACTCTGCTACTGACACGCACCTCATCTGCCCCAGTTACACACAAACCTCTCAAGATGGGACTCGTAGCTACCCACATTCAAATGATCTTCAAGTGACCGCTTGCTCCTGTTTACAGACCTGCTGCGATACAGTGTGATAGTGATGCCAACTGACGACTTTATATAACAAAATCTATTCAAACCAATGCTTTAAATGTACAGATATGATCATAACAGTTAATGAAAAGTACATTTAAGAGTAGCATTGTCCTTTGACTTCAAGCTGTATAACTGTAAAGACAATTAATGGCTGTATCATCCACAGAATGTGTAATTAAACACTAAATGTAAGTGTACTTCTGTCTTAACAGGTGCCTATTCAAGATCAATCCGGACAATGGGACTAGAGTGGAGAGGAAGGAATACAAACAAAAACAGCACTCGATAAAGATAAAGGTGCATTCATTCATTACAAACGTCGCTGACTTTGAATGGAGAGAGTTGAAACACACACAGTCATGTACACACGCACGCACATAACTGGTAGATTTCTTTAGTGTTTATAATTGTTATCTTTTGAACAAAATGTTGGCTATTGTTAAATGTTGAAATGTTTCTTTGCCGGTCTATTCTGCTTTATTATTACTTAAAATATATTTTATTTATTGTTTTTATTTTTGTGATGTATATTATTTTCAATAATATATTGTGTGTGTATATATATATATTTGTGATTTTTTTTCTACAAAACATCGGACAGTTAATGTAAACTTGGGCTTTTGCAAAGTAAAATGACATGTTAACTTTGTGTTTTACATGTAAATGGTCTTAGATTTCATGAAGTTTGCTGACGACCCGACCGTCATCGGCCTGATCACCGACGGCGACGAGACGGCGTACAGAGAGGAGGTCGAAAACCTGACATCTTGGTGCCAGGATAATAACCTCCATCTCAACGTCAGCAAAACAAAGGAGCTGATTGTGGACTACAGGAAGCAGCAGAGAGAGGGACACGCCCCCATTGCCATCAATGGGACTACGGTGGAGAGAGTCAGCAGCTTCAGGTTCCTCGGGGTCCACATCACAGTGATGTGGACCTGACATGGACTCATCACTGAGGACCTGACTCATCACTGAGGACCTGACATGGACTCATCACACTAACACCATCACCAAAACAGCGGCTCTTTAAAAACAAAATTGTATTAGTCAATTTATTGAACATGTTAGAAACAAAACAAACAATAATATTTATAACAAAGATGGGCAAAAAAAAAAAACTTTCAAGGTATAAAAAAAATTGTATTCTCAAAGTTTCTATCATGTTCAAAAGGGGCAAGAAGAAGCTTAAAAACGTTTCTGGTCCTACCAAAAAATGCAGTTTCCTCTCAACATGTGTATGTTTTCTCTCCGTGTGAAAAGTCCCTGGACATTATGATGTAATTGTTCTGCAGGTTGAGGAAGTTCAACATGGACTCCAGGATACTCTGCATCTTCTACAGGTGCACCATAGAGAGTATCCTGACTGGCTGCATCACGGCCTGGTACGGCAGTGCAATCATTCCGTTTACTTGCATATAGACTCTTCTTGCACTGTTTCTATTCTATTTTATCTGTTTTATTTGTTCTATGTTCTATATATATGTTGCACTGTTGGAGGAGCCTGTGACTTCAGTTTTTCATTGCCATGTCTACACTGAAGCTAATGTACAAATGACAATAAAGCCTTGAATCTTGAATTTACGGTATTTTTTCAAATGACAACAGTAATCTTCTTTCTTTCAGCTTTTTTTGATCATTTAAAAAAATATTTCTTCAGTTTTTCTAGAGGTGTATAACTCTATTCTAACAATTAATATATGTTAAAAGAAAAAGATTTCTTGTAAAATTACAGATTTTTTTGGCAAAAAATGTGATAGTTAATGTAAACTAAGGCTTTTTCAAAGTAAAATGACATTCTTTTCTTTGTGTTTTACTTGTAAATGGTCTTAGATACACGGTACTTTTTGTAATAATAAAAGTAATTTTATGTATTTTCGATTTTTTTTTATAATTTTTTAAAGATTCAGTTTTCTAGAGGTTTATGACTCTATTCTAACAAATAATATATGTTAAAATAAAAAGATTTCATGTAAAATTACAGTAATAGAGGCTACTTGTGGTAAGGTAAGTAACTTTTTTTTTACATGTTATCTCCGTATTTTATTTTACAGTTTTTTTCCTTTTTTTAACGGACATTTTCTGGCCAGAACATTTCCGTTTTTTTACAATTTTTTTTTTTACAGTGCAGTGTTTGAATTGGAGCATAATCTCCTGGTGAAATTGTTACGTACATTTGTGTGTCATCCGCATAGCTATGGTAACTTATTTTGTTGTTTTTCATTATCTGAGCCAGTGGTAGCATGTAGATGTTAAAGAGAAGAGGCCACAACATGGAGCCTTGAGGTACCCCACATGTCATATTTGTCAACTGAGATGTGTATTTACCTATAGAAACAACGTTTTTTCTGTCCTTTAAGTAGGACTCAAACCAATTTAGAACTGTTGCCGAAAGTCCCACCCAGTTTTCTAGTCGGTCTTGTAATATGTTGTGGTCAACAGTGTCAAACGCAGCACTGAGATCTAATAATACTAACACTGAAGTTCTGCCACTGTCTGTGTTTAAGTGGATGTCATTGAAGACCTTTACAAGAGCAGTCTCAGTGCTGTGGTTTGGACGAAATCCTGACTGGAACACATCCAAAGAGTTATTTAAATGCAAGAAGTTACTCAACTGTTGAAATACAACTTTTTCAATGATTTTACCTAGAAATGGCAGGTTTGATATTGGCCTGTAATTGTTCATTACTGAAGCATCTAGATCAGGGGTCACCAACCTTTTTTAGGGTGAGGGCTACTTTTAAAAAATAAAACAAGTCGGGGGCTACTTTTACTCCTCTTTTTCTTTCTTTTTTGCAGTGTATATATTTAGCACATTTTAACATTATGATATGCTGACCTTTAACCTTTGTGTGCTGTTTGGGTCTGTGGGACCCGTTTGCAGTGTTTACTAAAAGAACATACATGCAATTTAATTATTTTAACCTGCTTTTTTGGGGGGTGGACGGGCCTCACCTCCTCTAGGGGGATCCTCACCTCCTCTAGGGGGGTCCTCACCTCCTCTAGGGGGGTCGGGGGGCATGCACCCCCGTGAAGATTATTTTTAAATGTTCAAGTGAAATGCATCAATCTGGTGCACTTTGAGCACAACATGAATTGATGTAAACAGCTCTCAACACTCAGATGAAAGAGAGATGTATACTTTTCAATAATCCAAACATCTTTAGAATATGATCACAACCAATAACAAATCATTTAAACTGGTTTATTCTTATCTTATGTTACCTAGTTAGCATTCTTTCTTTTGATGTATGCTTATTTTACTAATCACTCCCCTTTCAAACTGTTTTTTGTTTTTTTTACTGTCCTATAGTACACATTGGAATGATTTCTTACTTTATCTATATTAAATAGATAAAGGTATGCTCTCCCTAGCTCTCTCTCTCTCTCTCCCTCCCTCCCTCCCCCCAGCTCTCTCCCTCCCTAGCTCTCTCGCTCGCTCTCTCTCTCTGTATCGCTCGCTCACAGAGGCTGTGTGCTCCTCCGTGGCGATCGACGGCTTGCGTTAAAAAATAATAATAAACATATTTGTAAAGTGGGGGGACACAAACGGGATTTCGAAAAGAGCGGGGGACATGTCCCCCCTGTCCCAGGTGGAAATTACGCCATGCGTGTGTGTGCGTCAAGTGCAATAAATATATATGCAAGTTGCAACACGCAGAGTAAAACTCTGCCTCCCATGTGTTGTATAGGCTGGCATGATAGGCTGTTCAATGGGGCTGATGTGTTGTGTAGAATCTGCCAGAAGGAAAATCAGCGGGGAGGTGCCACATTGCTTTTCTTCCAGACTGCAACGCTGGTCCCGCAAATCAAGCAAGAACGTGATTGGTCGATATTCATTGTGGGGGTGGGGGGAGGAGGGGTGTTAGATAGAAATAGAGTTGTAGTAAGTAGATAGAGTTCGCTATGATTTAGGTTTCGTTTATGCATAGGGTAGATTCTTTTAATTACATTTCCTTTTTTGTTTTGTGTATTTCATACATTTTGGATTTGCTTGGCGAGCTATTTTTAGAACATGCCCCGCGGGCGACTCACGTTGCCCCTGCGGGCGACCAAGTGCCCGCGGGCACCGTGTTGGCTACCCCTGATGATTCTTTTTTAAGAGCGGTTTAATGACTGCAGTTTTCAGGGCCTCTGGAAAAATACCTGAGTAAAGAGATGTGTTTACTATATGAAGTAGATCTGAGGCCATGCAATGAAAAACATCTTTGAAAAATCCTGTTGGAATAATATCAAGGCAGCAGGAGGAGGATTTCAGAAGTTGAATAATGTCCTGTAAGTTTTTATCATTAATCTGATGGAATTGTGTCATGGTGTTTGAATTGATATTAGGTGGACAACACATTTGCTGTACCTGATGCAGAGGCACTGACTGCTTGTCTAATTTTCTGAATTTTGTCAGTGAAGAAGGAGGCAAAATCATTGCATGCCCTGGTGGATAGAAATTCAGAGGCTACTGACACTGGGGGGTTAGTTAGTCTGTCGACGGTAGCAAACAAGGCACGTGCGTTGTTTTTGTTTTTGGTAATGATGTCAGAGAAGAAAGACTGTCGTGCATTTTTCAATTCCAAATTATAAAAGCCAAGTCTCTCTTTATAGATTTCAAAGTGAACCTGGAGATTTGTTTTTCGCCACCTCTCTCAGCTCTTCGACACTCTCTTTTTTCTGTTCTCACGGTCATGGCCTTTCTCCATGGAGATATTTTCTTGCCAATCACTTCCTTTACCTTAGTTGGAGCAATGGTATCTATAACATTTTTAATTTTTTAATTAAAATGATCTACTAGCTCATTTACTGAGATGTTAGCAGGGGCAAGTGTGGATGAAAAATTATGAGTAAACATTTCCCTAGTATTTTCAGTTAAATATCGCTTTGTGGTTACCTCTTTCTGAAAAATGTTGTGAACAGAAATACAGCTCTCAAAGAAAACACAGGAATGATCAGAGAGTGCAACATCAGTCACCACAACCTTTGAGATATTCAGACCCTTTGAGATAATTAAGTCCAGAGTGTGCCCCTTATTGTGCGTGGGCTCCGCCACATGCTGAGTCAGTCCATAGTTATCAAGAACACAAAACAGTTCTTTAGCCCCTCTGTCCTGGGGGTTGTCAACATGGATGTTAAAATCATCAACAATGACTAGATGGTCAAAGTCAATACACACTATAGACAGCAGTTCAGTAAAATCATCAAAAAAGCTTGCACAGTATTTGGGTGGTCTATAGATAATTAGGAACAGAGCTCGAGAGGAGCATTTCAGCTGAAGGGCCACATATTCAAAAGAAGCAAAGTCCCCATAAGATGTCTTCCTGCATTGAATGGAATCATTGAACAGAATAGCAACTCCACCTCCTTTCTTATGCATTCTTTCCTGACTCATAAAACTAAAGTTGGGAGGTGTTGATTCGATAAGAACAGCTGCACTGTTATTTTGTTCAATCCAAGTTTCCGTTAAAAACATAAAATCGAGATTATGCTCAGTGATAAAATCATTGATTAAAAATGTTTTTCCTGCCAAAGACCTGACATTTAATAAAGCTAGTTTAAGTTTGTTAAATACACTATCAGTAAGATTTTTTGTGACAAGCTGTGGCTGACATGGAATCACTGCTAAATTTGATAACCTCACACAAACGTTTGAGCACTTCCTGTTTCTAAACTGATTCACCGCTCTTAATCTATTACCTATCAACACAGAT